GAATTATTAAGCGTCGGACATCATTGACCCCCATGGCCCCAGCGAGCGAAAATTCGAAAATCCGTTCCGTAGGGCCACGCGGTCATGTTGTCGACCATCCCCGCTCGCATCCAAAAAAAAAAGGAGAACAACCAAAAAAATAAAGAGTTGTACGTTGGTAGGTTTTTGATATATTATATTACGCATAAATAGGAATAATATAAGGTATAAAATGAGAAACAAAACTAGCAGGATAAGTCTTAAATAGTGATTAAAAATAATAATAAATAAATCGATGATACCGTAAAAGGAACGCTAAAAGTGATTTTTTTCAAATTGTTTTAATTAAAAAAGGTTTAAATTTTATTTAAAAAATTGAATTTATCAATAATTCCTATAAAAGTTGTCCAAAACTGAGCCGTCCCAGCTATGGCATTGTCAAGAAGGCGCTACTATCAATACTGAACTATTAGTTACCATTTTTGCCTCGTTGGACAGCCATATAATTATGAAATTTACAGGAACATTACAACTGGGTTATTAATCCAATTTTTGCGACTTGACGTTTTAGAAATTGTTTGACTGTATTTAGAATTTTTCATCCATCACTGTAGTGTCACTTTCGATCGGTTCTTTTTTCAAAACAATATTGAATTGTCAGTATATCTACAAATAATATTTAAAAATATACTTAAACATAAAAATAATTATAATGACATAGCTGATTTAACATGCCAATAATTTCAACTACATGAATAATAAAAAAAGTTCTAGAATAGAGTATCGATAAGAGAAAAAATGTTTTTTCATACATTAAACAAATCTATTTTTCTCGACAATCCTGCTAGGTGTAAGCATTTAATAAGTACAATAATTTATGCCACTAATAAGGTTTTAAATGGCATAAGTTTTGTAGCTGTACAAAGAACTTAGTACCTGTACCAACCCTTCATACAAAGTGGTTGTTCAACAATGAAAGTGATTTTTTTTATTGTCCTGCATATTATAAATTATATAAAATAAGTAAACGATATGTTTCAATTAATGTTGATAAATTTGCAAAAATGCATTGTATAATTACCATGTTTCATTGCGCTACCGTTATCCACATTTTTTTTTCTAAGTCCGAGCTTTATCTAAGAACCAAGTGACGTACACTAATCTTGGGAGCCGCGCGGGTCAGCTTATATGAGAATTATTGAAGAAATGCTGCCCATCGGCTCAATACAGAGGTTTAAACATAGGTCTGACTCGCGGTCATCATTGTCCGACGCGGCCCGAACGGAAAGTTAAAGTGTCGCCCATCATTGTCCCCCATGGCCCGAACGGAACAGTGCCATTTTTAGGCTGGCAGCGAAGGTGTTAAAAGTACAGTGTGCTTACCATGAGTTTACATTAGGTGTGCTCGCTAGCGACCGCGTAAAAAAATGACATTATATGCATGACATATTTTGCAGCGCCCCTAGTGGCTACCTTCAAGAAATAAAATCTTCATAGAATTTTTTGACGTATTCGCTAGCGAGCACTCATGGTAAGCACACAGTAAAAAGTACAGGTAAAAGGTAGCGGGAAGGCGCTGGATGCAGGCCGCCACCAACCGGCCGTTGTGAACATTATTGGGGGAGGCCTATGTTCAGCAGTGGACGTCCTATGGCTGAAATGATGATGATGAATAGAAATCAGTTGGATCGCTATCGCCATTTTAGTTTGGTCGAACCTTAACATTTTGTCACACTTATTTTTATATTTTATCCCAATTTACTTATGCCTTATTATGCTATATACTGTAGCTTGAACTCCAAGCAACCAATACTCGTGGAATTTTAAACAGGATAACCTTTATACATAAATAATTGCTTTAATCCCGTAATCCCTTGCGTTAACAATATAGAATCGTTATCTTCTCATTCAAATTCAATATTCAAAGCGGTTTAGAAACTTTCGTTGTTTGTTTTATTTTAAAAACCGTTTAGCGATACATTATAAAGTGGGCTTTACTAAAAGGTTTTAGATAATATATTATGTTTTAGCTTAAAATATATACGAGTAAGTTATATACTTTGAATTCGTACTCACACATTCAATTTGGGCATAGTTTGAAATCTCAATCGGACATATACGGTTTGATGTCTACTCGAATCAATATCATAATTTCATGTACCAAATCAATGTCATAATTTTACAAATAACAAAAACATGAAGTTTTTGCTTACGTGTAACTTATTAGTCTACCGAACCAACCTCTGAGTCAAAAGAGTCAGATAAGTGCGTATTTTGAAACGGCGCTTAACTGTCGATTCAAGATGCTCTTTGACTCTATTGTTGATTATTGAGTCTGATACTTGTGTACGGGTCAACATGCTATGTGCTACTACTATTTGATTGATGAGGGCGTTTTATAATATTAGTATAGTGGTTAGATCACTTGTTAATATTATTTGTTGATCTTATATTGTTAAAATTCTTTCATAGTTATGATGGATTATAAAGACGCTACATTATAATGCTGATCTACACTCCAAAGGAAAGTTTAAAAGCAATCGAAAATTATGTAACTCATTTAGACTTACAATTGACATTCCTATTTCGTATTCTTTATTACATTAGACTTCCACCAACTCAAGATTAAGAGAGAACACACCTGTAATTTAAAATCATGTTCTACCAAAATTATTCTTAATACTCTGCTTAATGGTAATTTTATTGCTGTGGGCTCGTAACCTGTCTCAAATTTGAGTCACGCCTCGTGTTCAACGAATTATAAAACATGCGAGACGCTTAACTTGTAAGTTATTCTGGAAATAAAAAGACTTTTTGTGATACAAAGTTTTTCTATTCTAGGCTGAAAAGATAAGGATCTAGTACCTCATTTATAGTTATGATAGAAAAAGTTTTTGGAGCTGATAAGAAAGGCAAAGTTAGTAACAAATAACGAGCACAAAAATCGTTGCTAATCCAGTAGAGAATTCGGGATGAGGTTAGTGTGTTAGTAAGACCACCTGCTCATACCTAGAGGTCCCAGGTTCTATTGCCAGTGAGGATAGATTTTTCAGTTTGGTTGGTTGTTTTATGTTTCTCTCTCTCCATATTAATTTTAACAGCATTGTCGTGTTCCATCTCTTAGAGGAAAGATATAGAGTTCCTCTGTTGTTGAGGATTCCAGGTGAAGCTCGCTTCCACCTTCGGCCTGATCATCATTTTCCATCAGTTCAGCAGGCCCACAACTTCCTCATTGTGGATAAAAAAGTATCCAAATCGAATAACTCGTCACACGAATTTCACCCGAGTTAGAATTGGCCGAATGCACAATTCGCATGATTCACCCGAATTTATTGTCCGGTGGCGACATTATTCCCGCGGTTTTAAATTGGTTCCATTTGGAACTGCAATCCGGTGAATTTACTTTTTAGTTAATGCGCAGTGTTTATTATTAGACTTCATTTTGTTTGTTGATCTTTTTGGAAAAGATAAAAGTTGTTTATAGTACGACAGGTTAAGGGGTATCTCTGTTCTCAGTTGAAGGTGACTTATCAATTTTGCGGTAGGTATCTCGTTAATGTTACCTACTTAATCGCAAATGTATAGGTGTATGATAGATCTTGTGTATTTATTAGAAAAAAACATCTGCAAAAAAAAAAGTTTTTGAATTAGGTTGGGTGTTCCTAATGCCATTCCAATAAAATGTCTGTCCTTCAATTTAAGTTGAAAAAAAGTTACTTTTCTAACAACAGAATATTAAAGCTGAGTTGCACCATCTTACTTTGACTTTGACAAACGTCAAAAATATGTCAAAATCCATACAAAAAACATCGGTTATCGTTACAGTTACCGTCGAAGTTAGGTCACAGTTAGGTAGTGCAACTCAGATTTAGACAGAATACAATGATAGTTAATTCAGAATGTAGGTATACGATATTTGGTTATTTATATGGTAAATATGGTGGAAAGTTTGTTTCTTTAATTAAAAACCCGTGCAAAACCGGTGCGGCTCGTTATTCCACAATAAATGGGGGATACCTGATCCTTCATCCCAATTCAATGTAAACATTAATGGTATACAGGAGATTTTGTTATACAAATACAAATCGTTTTGCTGGAATTGTAAAATTCTGAATAAACAAACACCATTGTATAAAAGGATAGAAAAATATGTTTAAACAGGCGTGACATAATTCTCATTTTGTCAATGCGAAAGTCTACTATTTATCATGATTTTCTGGGTAATTTAATTAAAGATTCAAGAAGAAAAAAAAGGTTAATTAAAAAATAAACTAAAAAGGCAGCACAGCAAGTTAGTTTGAAAAATTAGTTTGGGAATCTAATTATTTTTTCAAGTTATGGACCTTAAAGTTCATAATTATTCGGTAACATGTTTTTATATTTGAGAATATAATATTTTTTGATGCTACGACAGACCAAACTCCTCGAGTGAAGGTGCGGGTAAAAGCTAAGTAGGTACCTACTTATAAATAAAAGAAAGCTAAACTACAGGAAATTCCCATAATAATTGTACCATTCCATCTTTTTATATTTCCTGAACTTCAATAAAGTTTTACGTTGTCTCCAATAATAATAAGCATCTACTTGTACATTATTTTTCCTGTTTGGCAATCTAAGTTATATTTAATTACAAATAAAAACATAATATTTTAAACTGTTGGTTACTAAAGCTAATGGTGCTTATTTATAAGTTACATTCAGAGTTGATGTTAATTCATAAATTAGGTGCCTAAATATTTTTTTAGTCTCATAAATACACACAACACAATAACTTATATTACATAATTATTTTCAAGAAAAAAAAACGGTCAAAATAATAACTTTTTTGACATAAAATTATTATTAAAATATTCTGCTACTTAAAAAATACGTTTTTAAACCTTTTTGGAACTTTTAATTGATATTGAACAAATTTAATTTATTTTTGTTTTTTTTTTTCAATTTTCTTATTTTTATCAAACACCTAACAAACATTTCAAACTAATCACAAAGTAGTGTTAAATTATTCAAAAAGTACTCACCTATAACTAGCAATCCACATAAACACGACGACACATAAACAACACACATTACTTATTGCAAAGTTATTACTAAACTGTCAGTATTAAATATTTATTATTTACATGGAAACAAACTCCAAACCTGGGTTCCTTAGTGCTAACACTCACTTAAATTAAGGTTCCATTAAACGTTATGTTTGACACGCACAGGCTTAATGTTCGCGATGACAGGTGTCGCGATCGGCACGAGCGGGAAAAACCGGTTGCGAGCGGCTGAGAGCGGTTCAAACCGGTCGGCGGTCGGCCAATTACTAAAATCCACACACAAGCCCGCGCTCGCGCCCGCACGGCGCATGCGCGGACACGATTGACACTGCCTAGCTTATGTACTAACGCCACAGGAATATTCATAAGTTAGTTTTTAGTTTTGTTTGATACATGTCTCTCATGGGCAAACGGTCGGCCCTCAACATTTGAAAGCTCCCGGGAATATCATTTTTCTGTTACAAACTTGTGGAATTCCATATTTTTCGCGGATACGAACTTTTTTGAGCTTTTGAATAAAGTTTAACTTTTGGTATTTTTTTGCCCTTTGATTTAATTTTTAAACTACATAGGTATTCCAATTTGAAGTACTCTTTAGAGTATCAACTCTGTAGCAGAGATTTTTATTAAAAAATCGCTGAACGAGCGTTCTCTATCATGTTTTCCTTTGCCATAATACAATTTGCAATATGTGAAAACAGTTTGATTCTTTTCGTTTCAGGAATACGGATGGCAATAAAATAGCACTGTTTTCGACCGTACAAGTTGTGTTTAGAAAATCTTTATGTTCGCCCGACCACTGCAGCTTAGTCGACTGTTCCAAGACAGTGATTTAAGATCTCACTGACCTGTCTTATTGTGCCGGTATTTGTAAATAGGTAGTTTAAAACTACCGGTAGGTAATTGTTCTTTTGTTGTTCGAAAAAAATCTGATTCTAAATATCTAAATTCTTTGACGGTTCGGTATAAAGTAACATTCGTGATAGATAATAATATAATTGCGTGATAACTTTAGGTAGCGAAGAAAAAACAAACAAAAAGAGACGTAGCGTACTGCTTGATGGTTTGAGAAACGGATCACAATACGAACTGCGAATTCAAATACTGCCTGTGCGGTTAAAAGAGGTTAGTGATTGTATTTCGTTTATTTATTAACTTGGTTATATGTGCTTTTATAATATTAACTATCACTTAATCGCTATGACTTTACCAAGCAATGAGCTTAATAGCAACATTTATAACATACACACGAACTAGAATCTTGATGCTGTATAAGTACCTGTTGGTAACCTATGCTACCTGCCCTTCTAGACAAAGTAGCATTTTTGACAGCTGTTAAACGTTTACGAATATTACTTTGTTAGGCGGGCTGAGTCTGCTTCCATAGTCCAAAAGTTTATGTTAAGTTACAATCTATTAACTAAGTTTATATTATTATTGATTCAATTTCTAGGAGGGACTCTGTATTATGCGTAATCGCCCACAGGTTATTTAGAACTTGGGTCAAACCGCCTCTGTGGTCTATTGGTAAGATATTTCTTAAAGATTGTTTTGGAGGCAGGGCTTGTTCCAAGTCAGCCTGGCTAGCTACCACCATCTTTTCTAATTCTGTTCCGGCAGTTGGAGATAAGATTACCAGTTCCTCTGTGGTTGAGGATTCCGGGTGAAGCTCGCTACCACCTTCGGCCTGATCATCAATTTCCATTAGGTATGATGCAGGCCAAGAGCTTCCAAATCACTAGTATGGATCAAACTGATTTTCCGAAAAGAATATTCCGTTCATCGAAAAGCGCGTGCAATAAACCTTTGGTGCAATTGAGTAATGTCAAACGGTTCATAAGCTCTGATATGCTTATGGTCTAAGTTGTTATGTGTCGATAAAAGGGTAAGAGGGCATCCATAATCAAGGTCAGCACGTCAATAATACTGATTTCGTTGTATCTGTACTCAAGAAACTCCTAAGCGTTAACCAAAGTCAACGCCTGGATTTGACCGTCTTGGTTTAGTGAATAAAAGGCGTCGCATCTGATTATGAGGAAATCTATCTTTCTTATATGCTTTAATAAGGAATACTGAACGAATGTAGATTTCTTTGTTGAATTTTGTGTATTTGCCCCCAGTTAATTTGAATCAATCAAGTTTTTCGAAAAGAACAATCCGTTCTTCGCAAAGCGCGATCCAATTGAGTCATGTGAAACGGCTCATAAGCTTGTGATCCCAGTTGTTGTGTCGATAGAAAGGTGAGAGGGCACCCATAACCAAGGTCAGCGCGTCACCAATACAGATTTTGTTGCGAACAACAGATTGAGTCGCCAAAATCCTTACTCCTTGTTATTTTCACGGGAGAGTAAACGGGTGGATTCCATTAATGTCTGCTAACGACCGGACGCACTTCGGATTGGGGTTTAAAAGGGTTGAGTGGTTTTGTACAATCGTTCTGATAAAAGGGGATGGATGTTAAAGCTTTTAGCGATTTAAAAGATGTCCCAGTGGAGGATTAATTTTGGCGTCAACGAACTAACAAGATTCTTCGAGAATTGTGAGTGCCAATTTTTAATTGGCTACATTTCTTTTTAAATATGAAACAAGAAAGATGAAAGAAGCACTGGTAGATTCCAACTGGTAGCCCTTCAATTAAAGAACTTAAATGAGGATGTACTCAAAAGCGGCGCAGTAGCATACATCACATTACGTTATGTGCCTACGTCACTAGATAATTATCGGTACAGTGTCGGCGGTCGATTTCTACGCTACAGAAGAACAAAAAGTGCAGGAATCTTGCATAGGTACTCGTAATTACTGATAACAAAGAGCTATAGAAAGTTATTTTTTGGATTTTTTACATAAATTGTGTGATAAATACCTAATATAGTTTCCAAAACCAACGCCGATAGACGCCTTGACCTATCTCACCGCCCATACGTTGGGTAGGCCCATCTTTTATCAATCATGACGCCTAATTTACCTAAATCTAAAGGGATTTGATCCTTTTGACCTTATTACAATGTAATAACACCTTCATGTCAACACTATAACATCGTAATAATACTAAGCGCTAGTTTATAAGCGAAAGGAAACAACAAATAAGTAGGTACTGCGAAGAATGTCAAACGTGTTTTTTGTTTACACGAATACTACAACTCGATATTGTTTTGGCACCGTTAAAAACAAAGCGTTATGTCGACTTGTCGATCATCCGATACTCGATGTCTCGATTATTCGATGTCTCGAGTTCTCGATAAGCCTATATTGAACTCGCCTATTTTATTACGTTAGCGCTGAGTGCACATGAGAGTAATATTAACCTCTAAAATGCGATTTGATGCTTATGAAACCTTGTGTAAATCTACTTGAATTGGTTATAGGTATTCGGTACTTGAGACAAGGGAAATATTAAATCGTGTTTCTCGTATGCCTTCAATTTATGTTTCCAGGTAATGTTAGTATATTAACAGCGATAATCAAGGCCGGTATACTGAAAGACGACTACGTTTACAGAACGTTACACATAAATGCGTACCTGCTATGTATTCAAATCGAGTGCTTTGTCTTTCTTACATGTTGCGGGTTTAATATATTATTATTTAATGCGTAATAAAGTATTTCTTTGACAGACGAATCACGCTGGTAAACATGAAAACAAAAGCTAGTCTAAGTTTATTTTTTACAAACGTCACGGATATTTTAAGTGCTTCTTTTTAGAGTAGGCGCACACCGTTGATTTTTCGTCGGCCGATAGTTTAGTCGGGCTGTTGATCAGTATGGGCATGTATGGGAGTGCGCACACTACGCCGATTAGATTTGGCCGATTCTTCATACAATTTGAAATCGGGCACAACTATCGGCCAACTAAAAATCAACGGTGTGCGCCTACTCTTAAGTGCTTTAAAATGTATAGATCATTATGATGTTGACATTACAAAACCACAACGTCTCAGACAAAAGAGAAACAATGAGGAAAAAGTCTTCAGCTCACCAGCTGTCGCTTTCTTGACTTTAGCTTTTTTTAATTGGTTTTTTTCAGAGGGGCTGCTACCACAGGTTAGGACAGACAAGTCAATGTTATGTCAATGTCTAAAAAAGATTTCATCGTAAAAGTGACAGAGTGAATTGGGGAAAAAGTTACGGCAAAATATATTTTAGAAAAATCAAAATGACATTGCTTATTCACGTTTAAATATAAATATGAACTATTTTTCATTTAGGGTATAATATTGGGTAAAACAATGCTGTGGTATCAGTGATAAAGAAAAAAGTCAATGTTGGATTTGTTCAGTGTTTTTTTAAGACTGAAGTTTGGTTAGGTGTAAATGTAGATTTGGTTCAAAATTCACTATCATTTTAAAGTCCCATTCAAATAAATCTATAATATACTTGGACGCTTCCGAGTTCCACGTAGTATTTGATATTTCGCATCAATACCCCTGAGTATCGGTGTCGCCGTATATTTTTATTTCGAAACCTATGGGAAATCTAGTTGTTTGTAAGTGGATAGATAAAAGGGAACGTAATGAACCATCCGGCGATAGGGAATCGGACCTTAAAAGGATAGCTAATAAATATACTTCGTCAGCTTTGTACCATTATCAAAGAACGTTAAACAAAATAGTGGAAATAAGGTGGACTTACGGTTGACATGGTAAGGGTCGAGTTTTGCGCTTGAACAACATCAATAGTTTTGCTGGCTTTATTAAAAACTAGCTTTTGCCCGCGGCTTCAACCGCGTGAAATTTAGTGTCACAAATCGGCATAAATCATAGGCTATAATGTTAATCTGGGTTACCAACAATAATACTGTAATGTTTCAACAAAATCCGTTCAGTGTTTTTGCGTGAAAGAGTAACAAACATCCAGACATCCAGACATCCAGACATCCAGACATCCAGACATCCAGACATCCAGACATCCAGACATCCAGACATCCAGACATCCAGACATCCAGACATCCAGACATCCAGACATCCAGACATCCAGACATCCAAACTTTCGCATTTATAATTATTAGGATAGTAGGATCATACAATCGGATGTAAGCGCTTGATAGCCAGTACCCATTAGCCCTTCGTGGTAAGCTAAAAATATGCTTGTGTTATGAGTGGGCTCACCACAATAGTCGAGCGGCAGTGGGATTTGAACCCACGTTCCTCGGATCTCGAGTCGGCCAGTCCGACCCCTTCGCCGTTCTAGCCGATCGTGGCTTTAATTATCGTGGGTTAGGATATAAATATCTTTGGACTAGTAAATAGTAAAAATAATGT